TGTACTATAATATAAATGAAAACACAGTTATGAAGTGGTTTGTGTGTCTAGCTTTCCTGGCCAATCACTGTTCTTGTTCTGAAAACCAATCAAATGTTAGTAACTGCCAGTAGAAGCTGACATCATGTTTACACTTGAAACAATTCATTATTTTGCTTTGTTCTGTAGGAGGACCTGTTTCTTATACACTGCAATTACAAGTAGTAATTTTTGTAAAAATTTTTAACATTTGGTCAAAAAGCAATGAAATCAAATAAAACAGTAGATTGGACACCTAGGAAGAGATGTAATATTATTGTGTTATGAGAAAGTGGTCTTTCCTATGCTGAAATTGCAAGACAGGTGGGTGGTTCAGTGACTACATCTGGAGTCAGAAAGTTTTGTTTACGATATCAGGAGACAAATTCAATAAAAAACAAAGAAGGAAAAGGCCGAAAACGGTGCACTACATCTATTGATGACAGAAGAATAAAAAGACTATGTCTCCAAGATAGAAAAATGTCATCAGCGGCCATCAGGAGTGATCTGAATGATTTTGGTGTTTGTCAGTTCAAGAACAATCAGGAGAAGATTAACAGATGTTGGACTGAGAGGTAGAATTCCACGAAAAAAGCCTTAACTTAATTTTCAGCAACAAAAAAAAGACTAGAGTGGGCAAAGGAACACATTAATTAGACAGATGATCAGTGGTCAGAAGTTATATGGAGTGATGAAACTAAGATATCGTTATTCGGTAGTGATGGGCGAAAATATGTAAGACGTAGAATAGGAGAAGAGCTACATCCTGACTGCATTCAAGCAACTGTGAAGAACCCAGTTAGTGTTATGATTTGGTCATGCATGTCAGCAGATGGTATTGGTCGCCTTCATGTCATCGATGGGACATTGAATGCCAGAAAATACATTGACGCTATTCTAGAACCAAAACTTCTACCTTCCATCAGAGATCTCTTTCCCAACAATGTTTCGTTTATTTTTCAGCAGGATTCTGCTCCTTGCCAAACGGAATATCGAAAGAGCGGTTTTGTACAAAGAGCATTAAATTGTTGTCATGGCCAGGAAACAGTCCTGACCTCAAACCTATCGAAAATTTGTGGCACCGTTTGAAAACTCTTGACCGAATGAGGCGCCCATCAAATAAAAGGGAACTAATTGAGGCTATAATTGTTTCCTGGCATCATGTAATAACCAAAGAAGAGCTTAAAACTCTTGTCAGCTCAATGAAACGTCGATGTGAATCTGTAATAAAAAATAAAGGGTACCCTACTAAGTACTGATAACTCGCTGCAATCATCACTATCTAATGTATATCGATAACTATTATTGCTTAACTTTTTTTGTATTGCAAATAATTGAATTTTGTGTTTTGTATTGGATTCAGTAATAAATTCTCTTTAAAATGATATATACAAGTTTGCATTTTGTGAAACGTAACGTTTTCTATAAGCATACAAAGTTCAAAAACATAAAAATTTCCAAAAGTGTCCACAATTTTGGCCATCACTGTATACTTTAATTACCTTATTTCTTGTTTAAATGCATATTTTACACATTTTATTTTCATTACTCACCATTTTATGACTTTTAACATTATATATCTGAAAACTAAATATATTACTTAAAATTCTCTTTTCGTATGAAAAATTTGAAAACAGGGATCTACACACAGTCCTGCGTTACATTCCTTGCACTCGTAATAACTCATTTACCGTTTTGGAGGATTTTTCCGGGAATGTGAACAAACGAAGCATCGTCGTCTCATTTTCTTATCAGTCTCTTCTGAACAAAGTTTTGGAAAATGTCTTTCAGTTAATCTTTCAGAATCGATATCAGAATATCAGAATTTCAGAATCAATATCTGAAATATTTTGCATCATTTCTGCTATTTCATGCTCTGTTAAACATTTTCAACGCTTCGACATTGCAACGGTAAAAACAGAAAGAATTCACGTCTAACAAGATCTAATTATTTTCTAAGAACTGAACTGCAAACCGAAGTACCCAACGCTTTAGCGAAAATAAAACTTCTCTACTTACAATAAACAACTACCACGTGCGAATTTAAAAACACGTCATACATCATGCCATTTGGAAACATTTATTTCCCCTTTTGTTTATATAATCAAAAACACATGTATATGAGTCATGCTTCTCTCATTTCGAGTAGAAGGTCTAATGTACATGTATCTGAAATCATATGGACATACAGTGCCATCTTTTGGCAGAAATTATAGTTTTTAAAACGTTCCAGGACACTGGCACAAATACGTGACAGTCGAGGCTGAACGGGAAAATGCTCTGCCACGCCTGCGTGTCGGCTGGGAAGTGAGTGTGTTTGTTGCTAGCACGTAGACATGACAGTCGGCGCGAAGGGGTTAATGTGCTGACTTGCATGTAGCTGCGACATGTTGCTGAAAATAAAACTGAAGATTATGGATCAACACTTCTACGCCGTCAAAATTCCTGCTCCTGAATTTTGCAGACCACAGCTTTGGACGTAAGTATATTTCGTCCTTATTTTGTTTTATTCTTTGATCTTTGGAAGACCCATTTCAGTACGTATTTATTATGTCTCTTTTGGTTCTTCTCCTTAAAAAGTTTATAATTTTCTAATTAGAGCATTTTTCCCTTAAAATTGTGTAATTTTTAGACTAATAGGTTCTTTAGCTTGTATACATTTTTTGTTGTTTAATAGTACGTTTTACATTTACAATTTAAATTACAGCTCGTCAATAGCCTTTTATCTATTTTATTTGAATTATACCTTTGCATAAATGAGCTTACTTGTAGAGCTTTTTATAGTTTAATAGTAAGTTTTACATTATCAATTTAATTGCGCGCGTCGGGAAAAGAGCGATATAAGTGGGACTTACCAAACATTTTTAGATCATAAAGTTAGAATTTTCTAATAGTGAAATTGTGTTTATAGTCTCAATTATTATCGTTTGATGAAAGGCACTATAGGTAATAACTTGATTAGAGTTTTGAGCTGCTTTACCCTTGATAAATACAGCGCAAACCTCGAATTGAGCTATGTGTAATGTGTATACGAGCCAGTTTCCCTTAAAAAGTCCTCCACAAAGGCATCCCTTCCCTTGGGCAGATAGCCCTAGAGTGCTTTGCCATTATTAATAAAAACCAAAACCAAACCTCGAATTGAGTTATTTACCATTTGCTGTAATTTTTTGTACATATCATGTATTTTTGTAATATGTTTAATTTTTACAACATTCCTTTTATAATTCCTTGTGCATTAAAATTTAATTTTTTCTAACCCTTTTTGATTTTGAAGTCATCTCGACTTGTAATTTTAACATTCAGTTTTTACGAGTTTTCTTTCACTACTTTATTATTGTTTCTAAATGTTGAATGATTTTACTTTTTTGCTAAGGAACTATAGAGTCAAATGAATTTTTTAGCATAAGCTTTTAAATGCACCTCTTACTTGTAAAGTTTTTTAAATAATTTTTGCAGCTCAAAGCGCAAAATTCTTGACCATTAAGGTCTCTCTAATTCATTCAATACAATCTGTTTTAGAAAAAAGTCCTTTATTCTGTACATACATACAAGATGTCACACAAAAAATCATTCAAATGGATTCTACTCTGCTCTTAAAGTGAATTAATCACTTTATCAGATTTGGCATTTTGGAGAGCAGTTTTGTAATGGTGTCTCGTTAAACAAAAATTACCTTCTGCATCATGCACTAATAAAAATTTATAATAAATCAAACTACAGATTATCATCAATATATTGGACACAATTTTTATATCTGCTCTGTTCAGGTATTAAGAATGTCTATACAGTCAAAAGTCGTTAATTCGGACACCCATAATTCGGAATGATCTATAATCCGGACATCAAAACTAAAAACTTTCTGCGCATGCGCCACGTTGACACATGCGCAGAGGCGTTCACACATGCGCGTAAGACCTTTTACGACTGCGCATATGAGTGTGCGCAAGTGCAGAATACGTTTTCGCTTGCACATTTTATGTATAATGGACGTATAAGCTAAAATTATCTAATTATCTATTTCAGTTAATGTTGATGATTGCGTTGTTCCTTAATTTTCGAATTGCATCCGGCTTATTATTTTTTGCAGACTGTAAGAGCAATTTTATAAAAGTAAGCTTAAACTTTCGATTATATCAAATAGAATTTCCGATATATATTTGTTAATATGTAAAGGATCTAAAGCGAAAGTATTTTTTGAAATCCGAAATCTGTTTATCAATTTCACGCTGCTCGGCGGCGGGCGCCTAATGAATTGGAAGTTGATTTGTCACCACTATCCTTATCTTCAGCGCAGATGTTGTTTTATTTTATTTGGCTTATAATTCCTTACCAAATGTAGTATTTTATCTCGATATGCTCCGTCTTTGATATGATTTAAAACAAGTTCCTCGTCATTATAATTCGCTTCCGATAGCGAAGAAAAGTGACAGAGGTTATTGAAAACAAAAAAATTTCGATTGACAAATTAGTCGGTGTTCTTGACACAGCAATTATAGGACTTGAACAGCGGAACTTTGTAACTGAACAAGAAATTATGTCTGTTTAATAGAATTAAAGAGAAAGTATTATCACATGAAACGAAGCAAAACTTAAACAACTTACATTGAAAGAAATGTTTAATAAAGTAAACAAATAAATATTAAGCTTTTTCTTTTTGCAAATTTTGATACCCTTTAGATCATAATTGTTCTTTATTTCATAAATTATGGTTTCATATTTTTAATTTTAGAATTTCTGCATGCCATCTTACGAGATTTAAACTGATGATCTATAATCCGGAAAAATCGATAATCCGGAATCGCCGAAGTCCCGACGAGTCCGGATTAACGACTTTTGACTGTATATATTTCAGAATATATATAAATAAGCAAGAAATAGAATAAGAAAGTATTGAACTTTATCAATTACAAAATAAATAAAAGATATAAATTATCTAAAATTAATAAAATGAATGTAAAACTATTTTAAAATAAAGCTCAAACCTAGAAGTAGCATATAACACAAAAACACTTGCTGCTTTTGATAATGCCACTTTTGCACCATCAGTTACTCGAACACCTTCAGGAATCTAAGCAGAAAAAAATATGATTAAAAACTTTGCTTAGTTAAAAATATACAATATGACTATACTTATATTTATAGGGTGTCTATAATTAATAAACCCTATTTCAAAGCTTCTGAGGTGCTAAGTTTAAAATCTTTTTTTTAAAAAAAAAGTATCCCCTACCAACTTTGCAAATACAAAAAGCTATAGGATTTCTACACACACACACAAAATAATAATAATAATAATAAATAAATAAATAAATAAATAAATAATTACGAAAGAAAAAGTGGATACTTCCTTATTATAGCTAACCGCAAAACTGAATGGCTAATCAACCGAAATGTTTCGTTCAATCTCACCATGTATTCTTATACCTTGCTACATGTTACACTTTCGTTGATTAGCAATTGAATTTGAGGGACTGCTATAATAAGGAAGTACCCAACTACTTCCTTATTAAAGTGGTCCTCAAGATTTGAATAGCTAATAAACCAAAATATTTCAGTGAAATCTCGCCACGTGTTCTTATATCTCACTACATGTTGCATCTCGTTTGATTGGCAATTAAATATGGGGGGAGGGGCACCTTAAAAACAAGTATCGAAAAGTGTAAAGTGAATTAATTTTAATGACAAAATCAATATATATTTTAATATTCTGAAACAATTATTATGAAAAATATGCAAGGCAAATTTATTTTTAAATTCATTTTAAAATAATTGCAGTACCATTTTTGATTTTATTTAGAAGTGTTTTATAAGATTTATTATCTTGTTAATTTTTCAGAATCAAAATACTTTTAAGTCGCCAAAACGAAAAATAACTACACAGCCCCTTAACTGCCACGGGCGTATATATACGCCTTGCTCAGCCGATGCATTAACTGCCACAGGCATATATATACGCCCTTCCCAAATACTATCATTTGCTTTGCGCTGCCACCAGTAAAATTATTCATAAAGCTTTGAAATGCAACACCACAATGACCTTGACGAAGTATGCTAAGGAGGATACTATTTCAGAGAAGTTGGGGAGAAACTGGAGGGAGGGATGTGTCTAAAGGCGTGAAAGTAATGACTGCGCAGTATTGGCTGGTGTTGTTTGAGTAAAACGTATTTTTTTTTATTCTGTGTCCTCTGTTTTCATTTACTTTTTGTAGTAGTTTCCAGGAATAAAGAAAGATATAACGGATGTTTCAAACACATTTTATCTTTTTTGAATTATTTTTTTATGAACTGCTCGGGCTTCATATTGTTACTAAAACTAATCGTTTTGTAGACGAGTATATGAACTAACACCTTGCAAACGAAAAATCAAGAATGAGTATATGAACCAACACCTTGCAAATGAAAAATCAAGAACAAAATCATGGCATTCAACCAGTTCAGAAGAAATATATATTTTTTTAAGCATACTGATTTCACAAGGTATAACACTGAAACCTGATATTATACTTTACCTTCTAAAAATGAATTGATTGAAACTCCATTTTAGAGATCCTTTTTAATTATAAAAACATCATTTTTATTATTCTTACATCTTTTTCTTTTATTCTTTATTTTGTGAAAGTAAACAGTTTTTAGAAAGTAAAACTTGCACTTATTTTCCCCCTAATACATCGCATAACTACGCGCACCTGTGTGAAAACCGTAGCACTGAGAAATGAATCTTGTACATTTTCCGTGGCAGTTAAGGAGTTAAAATATGATAGGGAAATATGATATTTAATGTCATTTCTTATATAATTTTAACATATTACAATTATTTTAATGATATTTATTAATGTTTATTATGTTTGTAAAAACAATCATCGAAAATTTTGAAAATCTTTGAATCAAAAATTTTGTATGTAAATTGATCTTAAAATTTCCAAAATATTGATAGTCACCAAATTTACTAACATATTAAAAAAAAGAATACATTGTACCAATTCCAAAAAGGGAAAAGTTGCTTTAGATGTAATATTTTTTGAACTCTTCGTTTGCTAAAAGAAATAACTTCAAAATGTTTCAATCAAGGGAAGGAAGGAACTCACGATTTGTGCTAAGTGTTAAAAAAAGAAATTTGCATTTCTCCCATTCACGATTGCGCTGAGCAGAAAAGGTGAACTACATAGCCAAGTGGAAGGTTCCTCTCGATGGAGAAAGATGAAGAGAGAACGGGTAGTTTGTCTTCCTGATTCTAATGGTGCTGAAGTCTGACCTCTGTGCTATGCCTGTCCGATGCTGTTTGCCATTATAACCAGCAGATGTGATTCTTTCAAGATTGGTGCAGAAACATGAGGCAAAGAGTCCTAATAAGGAACAGCATAGTGTGGATAAGAATCTATATAAGCATTCTGGATTAGCTTTGTACATCGCCATATACCTGCCTAAATGAATGGACTGTTAAGCAGGATCTAGTCGCATTGTACCAATCTAGTACATACGCATGTTATCCATCGTATAATTTCATTAATGTGTCATATTCTGACACGTATGTTCATCTACGTTGTTAAATCTTAAGGATAGAAAATCACTGATTAAATTTTATGTTAATTTTTCAACTTAGTGCAGTTTATACTTCTTTAGCAGAAAAATCTCGGTTCTACACCCACCACTATGCATAACTCTCAAGGTTCTTCAAATACAATAGGTTATGCGCCCAAGTAATAGATGACCAGTGTGACTAAGTTATGGTAACCAGTTCCCTACGTAACCAGGAGCTCAGGTGTCCAGGTCTCTGTCTAAGTCCAATGAAAGAATATGCCTAAGCAGTAAGTTGAAAGTTGGTGGGTTTTTTTTTTTTAAGTGGAAAACAAGGTAACCCAAAATTTCTCTTCTTTCCTGAAACCATATGTATCTAGTGAACATGATGGACCCAAATACACAGCTTGAGAAACTGGATAACAGTAATTTTGAAGTATGGTGTTTACAAGTGAAAATGATTTTAATTCAGTCAGAACTTTGGGAAGTCGCAAGTGGGCAGTTAGTCAAGCCAGAAACATATGAAAGTATCTTAGCCGAAGTTGGCTAGCGAGTTTCAAAAGATCAAAAAGCTTTAACAATTATTGCTCTGAGCGTGAATTCATCTGAGGTAGAACATTAAAAAATGTCAAACCTCGTACGAAGCATGGTTGAAATTACATGAAATACATCTAAAGGCCCTGTTACTAAAGTTAGTCTCATGAAGCAACTTATCTCTAAAAAAATGAACGCGAATGAAAACATTCAGGAGTATTTAACTTCTTTCTTCGAAGTTGTAGATAAATTAGCTAAAATAGGATCTGAAATTCCCAAAGAATTTTTAACTGTTTTACTATTATAACCGAGGAATTTGAAAGTTTTATACTCGTGATAAATTGCCAGACTTAAACACGCTAAAAGTTAAGTTACTAGAAGAAGCCAAAAGTCACCAATTTAAAGCACAAAAAAACAGCCACGTGCAGAATGTGTTAGTTAATAAATAACGTGAAAACCTTAAAGTCTTATAATTGTAACAGAAAGCATCAGAATGCAGACGAAAAAAAAAAAATCCTAATCAAGAATCCCCTAAACCAAGTTGTTCTCTCACAATTGTGAATACAATGCGAGAAAACATGTGCAATGACAAAAGTACATTTACATCAATAACTGACATAAAAAGTGAAGTTCAATTAGTAAATAATTAGATTTTAGAGGTTAAAGGGAGAGGCAAAGTTGAAATTTATGCAAGTGTTCATTCAAGTTCACAACACCAAATACTTCATGATGTTATTATATGTTTACAACCTAAAAATGAACTTAATTTCAGTTAATGCAGCAACGCAACGTAAATGTACTGTTTACTAAAAATAACCATGCATGGCTTAAAGACAAAAATGAAAATGTAGTTTTATATGCAACAAAGCAAAATGGTCTATATGAAAGTCAACAGGATGTAATTGAGGTTTCAAATGTGTCAAAGGGCTACATAAATAACTGAAACAGTAAACTGAAATTATGGCATGAGAGATGTGGTCAGTTAAATCTAGCTGACTTAAAAAGAATGCATTTCCACAAGTTGTTATATGGTCTAAAAATTCCAAAATGTAATTGTCAAACTTTATTTTGTGAAACTTGTACTAAATGCAAACAAACAAGATTACTGTTCCCAAAGGAAACGTGCATAATAAACTATCACGTACTTGAACTTGTACACACCGATATATGTGGTCCTATGAATGTCACATCTTTAGGGAGTACAAAATACTTCATAACATTCATCGATGACAAATTGTGAAAAATTAGTGTGTACACCTTACACAAAAGGTCCGAAGCTCTTGAAGCATTTAAAAGGTTCAAATTTCAGGCAGAGTAGCAAACAGGGAAACAACTGAAAATTCTCCACAGCTATAATGAAAAAGAATTTAAAAGTCAAGAACTTAATCAATTCTTAGAAAAGCAGGGCATTAAATGACAATTTACAGTGGAGTATAGACCACAAGAGAACAGAATTGCAGAACGTGCCAATCGTACCCTAGTTGAAATAGCCAGATGTCTACTGTTCAAAGCAAAACTGCTTCAAGGATTGTAGGCAGAAATGGTGAATACAGCTGCCTACATTTGAAACAGATGTCCGACTAAAAACAGATCAAAAACGCCAGAAGAAATATGGTCTAAAAGAAAGCCTACAGTATCTCATTTCAGGATCATACAAAACAAAGCTTTTGCGTTAACAACTTCAAACAGGAAAAACAAATTTCTCCCAAAAAGTGAAGAATACATTCTTGTTGGATATTAGGAAGCGAAAGCATATCGTCTATGGAAGCCTGGAACTTCTGAAGTAACACAAAGTTGTGACATCAGATTTTTGAAACTGCTGGAATCTGAAACAGAAGCCAACCCGAAAACTTCAACTGAAGGCGAACAGGAATTCATAGAATTTGTTCCTGATGAAGAAAATTCTGAAATGCCAAATGAAGGGACAGCAGAAGCCAGAGAAAACATAATACATGATCATAATTCAGAAAGAGGCCTAAGTTCCTAAAAACGGGAAAACCAGGTAGACCAAGAAAAATCTATCAGCAAAAACAAGCTAATTTAGTAAATTCTGAAGTTTTTTGCAGATCCAGAAACTATAGAAGAAGCTTTATTTAGACCAGATGTAGATAACTGAAGAGCAGCTATGCAAGAAGAATACAGTTCGTTAATGAAAAACAATACGTGGGAATTAAACAATTTCCCAGAAAATAGAAAAGCCATTGGTTGCAAATGGGTATTCCGAATAAAGTGAAAAGCGGACGGCAGAGTCAATCAGTAGAAAAACAGACTCATCGCCAAAGGACGCTCGAAAAGTATGGAATAGATTATACAGAAAACTTTTCACCTGTAGTTCGCTACATCTCTGTACAAATGCCTTAGCTGGCGAATATGACCTGAAAATACATCAAATGGATGTCCAAGCAGCTATCTGAACAGAAAAATTGATGAAGAGATTTTTATGTCTCAACCAGAAGGTTTTGTAACTTTCGAAGGCAAAGTTTGCAAGCTGAAAAAAAGTCAATCTTTGAACTCAAGCAAGCAGGACAAATGTGAAATCTGAAATTAGATGAAACTTTGCATAAACTTAAATTCGAAAAGTTAACGTCAGATAATTGTATATATGTTCGAAAAGGAACAGATCACTTCACGTATCATAATCGCTATTTATGTAGATGATTTGATAATTCTAGCTAAAACAGAATCTTCCATGATACATATTAAGAAAATTCTCAGCCAAACCTTTCAAATGAGGAATTTGGGTAAAATAAAACAGCGTCTAGGAATTAACATCGAGCATAATGAACATGTATCAGTTAGCCAAACTCAATACATAAAAGAACTCTTGGCTAAATACGGTATACAAGAATGTAAACCTATATCAACACCGTTAGATCCCAACTTAAACTATGCAATTCATCAAACATTGGCAAAGAAAATGAAAGTGTAGACAATATTAAGTATCAATCATTAATTGGATCCTTAATTTACTTAGCTGTATCTACGCGACTTGATATTGCAATTTCTGTTAGTAAACTTAGTCAATTTAACAGTAACCTGAAATATTTCTACTGGAAGCAAAACATGTACAACAATACCTTAAATCTATGATAAACGTGAAGATAACTTATAGCAAAACAAATGAAAATCTTAAATGTTATGTAGACATGGATTGGGCCAAAAATATTCTTGACATGAAATCATTTAGTGGCTATAGTTTCATATTAGCAGGAAGCCCGATTCCTTGGAAATCACGCAAGCAAAGAATTGTAGCGCTATCAAAGCACTGAAGCAGAATGCATAGCATTAACTAACGCTTCAAAAGAAGCGATGTACTTGCATTTGCTATTAAGAGAGCTAGGTTTTTTGGAAAAAGTAACAGAAGCAACTGTATTGTACAATGACAATCAAAGTGCACAACATTTAGTGAAAAATCCAGTTCATCACTTTTGAACAAAACACATTGATACTCCATTTTACTACATAAGAGAAATATGTGACAATAAAGAAATTGACATTAAGTATGTGTCTACAACAGAAATGCCAGCCGATATTTTAAAGAAGAATCTTGACAAAGACAAACATAGGAAACGCATGAATGTATTAGAACTTAAAATTTAACTAATAAATGTCATTTTTTGTTTTATTCTCTTTTCCGCTCATCGAGGGAAAGTGTAAGAAACAGAAATTTGCATTTTTCCCATTCGCGATTGCACTGAGCAGAAAAGGTGAACTATATGGCTGCGCAGAAGAGGGTCCTCCTGACGGAGAAAGGCGAAGAGAGAAAGGGTAGTGTGTTTTCCCGTTTCTAATTGTGCTGAAGTTTGACCTCCGTGCTATGCCTGTCTGATGCTGTTTTCCAATGTAGCCAGCAGATGTGATTCTCTGAAGCGCAGTGCAGAAACATGAGGCAAGGAGTCCTAATAAGGAACAGCATAGTAGAGATAAGAATCTACATAAGCATCCTGGATTATCTTTCTACATCGCCATATACCTGCCTAAATGAATGCACTATTAAGCAGGATCTAGTCATATTGTACCAATCTAGTACATACACACATTATCCATCGTATAATTTCATTAATGTGTCATAGTCTGACACATAAGTTCATCTATGATGTTAAATATTAAGGATAGGAAGTCACTGATTAAATTTTATGTTAATTTTTCAACTTAGTGTATCAGGACTACTATTCCTTCTAATCTGTTTAGGGAACATGTAGGTGTCCTGAAAAGAACTGCGAGTCTACTGGAGAGTAAGTTCTGAAAATTGTAGAAAGAATAACAAAGATGAGAAGGGTTTAATTACCCTTTATGTTCCACACTTTACAGGTGCTCCCACACTTAGGGATGCAAAGACCGACCACTTACAATCTGAATGCAAGAAAATTAGAACTAGCTAACTAAATTTAACAGCTAACTTCAAATACTTTACACAGATGACTAACACTAAGGTTGGCTTTTCAGATTATTGTGTATGTAGAATGCAAACTGTGGAAAGCTACAATACGTCTTACTATAAAGAGGACTAAATCTCTGGCCTTAAAGGCAGACAGCGACTCACTGAAAGCACGCATGAAATAAAGTGGTAAGAAGGCTCACTCTCTCTCCTTCTAACTCTGTTCTTGGCGAAAAGCCACAACTTAAATACTTAAACGTTAGCATGCACAATTCGCATAAACAGATTAACGAGCTTATTCTAGCCAGAAGTAGAAAATAGGAGAGGACAGTAAAGTTTTAAAATAAAATAAATGTTAGTAAAACTTAAGGTCCTTATAAAAGCAGTTTACACTTCTGTAGCAGAGAGCCTCAGTTCTACACCCACCACTACACATAACTCTCAGGGTTCTTCAAAGAACACAAATCTTCAAACATAATACTAACGTATTGCACCGTTTATATTAGAAGTATGAGGGAATTCAAACAATATCCTATAAAAAATAAATTTCTCAATGAATCGGAAAAAAATATTCCTCCATAGTGTTTGTTAATTCACACTTAAAATGGCAATCATAAAAAATAGAAATGTCAGACGAACAAAGTTAATGAATCTTAAGGACAGCACAAACCCTACATAAAGATATTAGGATTTTCTCCAGCAAAATGGCTAGAAGTGATATAATTTTCACTAAACACCTGAGTTTCATAAAGATATATTTTTTATCATATTTGTCTTTGTTACATATGATCAAACTTTATCAAGACCTCCCCAAAAAAAAACTAACTGAAAATTTAAGAACAGTTAATATTAATTCTGAATTTCACACTTTTACATTGAATTTGACTCATCAAAATTCAAGAAACTAGAAGAAAAGCACGGCAGTGTAAAATTTTAAATTAGGCAAAAAAGATAAATTTAGTTTGGTGCAGATTTGGAATAGAACTCCATTGGTTTTAAAGACAATCAAACACAGGTCTCTCTTCAAGAGCAAAGAACTTTTGCTATTTTGCTCCTAAAGAAGAAGAGCTATTATACGATTGCCCTTAAAACCAATACAGTTTTTTTTTTTTTTTTCTTCAAAATCCGCACTTAACACAGGTTGCTTTCATCTAATTTTAAAGTTCAAGTAATTAAAACTCTACTGTATGCTATTAATGCTTTATCATATCAGAGTTTATACATAAATATATTCTCTCAAAAATAATTATAGCTAAATAATTTTTTTTCAACATAAGAACAAACAACTATACAACCAACAAACAGTTTCATGGAAGTCACCAATTCTACCACATTACAAAGATTAATTAGACAATATTAATAAATTTCAATATAAAGGACATTGGTTCTAAGATTAAGAAATAATATAAAGAACATTGGTTCATAAGATTAAGAAATAATATAAAGGACATTGGTTCATAAGATTAAGAAATATACTCACAGCATCTTTTACAATTTTCGATATAGCAGAAACAGGTAAGTTGAAGTCTTCAGGCTTTTGAGCCATGACACACAGAGCTACAATATTTTTAATAGAATTATCAGAAACATAACCCAAAATAACAAAACCTGAAAATACAACTAAAAAATTTTTTTAAAAAAATTAATTTATGCATGTGTAATCTTAAAAAGGCTGATCTTTGGAATATGGTAACAAGTAGTTTGGCGACATTTTGGAGGCGATAAAGGTTACTACCTAAGACTTTGGGAATAATGTGAGAAGTACTCAGTTCCGATTACGCATTATTTTGTGTGAGGGAAATGAGAGATCATGAGATATGTCATGTGACATTAATGGACGAATCACTGTTCTTTAATCGGAAAATTTGTAAAAATATCTGCTGTACAGCATCAGTTTCATTCTATGTTCGGTGAAACAGTGTTGTTTAATATTTGGATCCCATGGCCCTATATAAAGTAAATCCGAAATTTTTATTGTGTTTATGTGTAATTGAAAAGAATTGCTTAATTGCGGATAAGTATGAATGTCCAACATGTGGATATGAAATGAGATTGTGTAAAAGGAAGGATATTACAGATAAGTTTGAATGGTGGTGCAAGAAATCTGGTGAAAATGGACATTTTGTGATCCGCCATGCACTCAAGATTCTGTAGAAGATTAGGTAAGTTAGTATTTTTAGTTATTTGAGGATATTATTTTTATGCATTGTTCTAAATGTAAGGAGTAAATAAATTAATATGGTATTATTGGAAAATTGTTATTAGCAATGATTTAGTTTAAAGTAATTAAGGATTGTAAGCTAATTTTTATTAATTTAATGTATGTGCTTATATATATTTTAAGTAGTGTTTTTTAATTTAATTATATTTTAATTTAATGATCGTGATTTTAAGAGTTATATGTTTGTAGTATTTTGGAATACGTTTGAGTAGAAGTAAATGTGCATGGAAAAAATTAAGTATTTGGAACCATTTTTATTGTTTGCGTTAGAAATTGGTAGATGAGGTTTATAATAGATAATTTAGAGGGAAAAGTTTTTGGATATTTTATTTATTTTATACGTGCAAATGTTCATCCTTGGAAAGGGTATATACTTTTTCACGATCAGGTAATTTCATATATGTCCTTTTTACCGAATTTAAAGATTTACAAAATTTTCATGCATTTTCGTGAAATTTTTCTAATTTATGAGAAAAAAGCAGTGTACATGGATATAGTGAAGAGTGTGCACAATGCCATTTTTGTGCAATTCTGGGATGTTTTTTTAAGTAAAAATCAGTCGACGTGTATATGGTTTAATTATATTTTAATTAAATGATAGTTATTTTGTGAATTATATGTTGTAGCAATTTGGTATATGTTTCAGTGGAAGTAAACATGCATGGAAATAATTTAAATATTTGACACTAAGTATTTGTAACCATTTTTAATGTTTTGTTTTGAATTTGTTGGTGACGTTTATAATAGATAATTTAGAGGTCAAAGTTTTTGGATATTTTATTTATATTTATACGTGGAAATGTTCATCCTTGGATAGGGTATATAATTTTTCGCGATCAGGTAATTTCATATATGTGCTTTTTACCGAGTTTAAAGATTCACAAAATTTTCCTGCATTTTCGTGTAAATTTTTGTAATTTATGAGAAAATAGCAGTTTAGATGGATAAAGTCAAGAGTGTGCGCAATGCCATTTTTGTGCAATTCTGGGATGCTTTTTTAAGTAAAAATAAGTCGACGTGTACATGGTTACTGTGTATGTGCGATTTTGAAAAACGCGGCAAAGAGTTTGCACTTTTTCCCAATTTTGCAGTTAATATTTGTCATGATTAAGCAGTTTTGTTCCATAAAATTTCTAGCATAAGTGTAATTCGGTTAGTAGATTGTTGGAAAAAGTGTTGAGTAAATAAAAAGAAAAGAAACATGTCTTTACTTCGTGAAGACAAAATGGCGGCGAAAAAAAAACAGAGGGTTGCTGTAGCAGAGTTGGTCGCCAAATTTTTGCCAAAAAATCGCCAAGTTACCATAATCCAAAGATCAACCCTTAAAAACATATAAGAAATTTTTGGTATTTTCTGATAACCACACATTCACCGAAAACGTGTAAAAAATATTCTTCAGACATGTGCATAGCATATCACCAGATACTTTACAGTTTTCTGGGTGAGTGAGTGAGTGAGTGATTATGGCGCAAAAACCAGAGATGATTATGACGCGCCAAACACAAGATGGGATGATTACAATTGAAGTCATTAAAATTCAATGAATAAAAACAAGTAGATAAATTTACCAAATCCAGAGGATGAAGTCATATAAAAACAATTTAAAAGCACATATTAAAATTCAAGACACAGTCTTCAAAACAAATTACATTAGGTAATAAAAGCCAATCTCTTTTAAATAGTAAAATAAATTACAATTGACCTCTCTTCCGATTAAATGGTCGAGAGGTAAGTCACAGCTATTAAAATATTTCTGGCGAAGATTATTAAAACATGGACACTCAATTAAAATATGATGAACAGATAAACAAACATTAAAACAAACAGGCTCATTTTCAGCTTTGAGAAGATAGTTATGTGTGACTCTAGTGTGACCAATTCTGAGGCGAGTCAAAAGAACGTCCTCCTTACGATTTCCAGAAAAATCCCAATGCTCAATTCTAGGCTTGACGGTTTTCAACTTGTTGTGATGCTGAACATCCCAAATTTGCTGCCATTTTTTTTCGGACCTTTCCTTTGATGACACTGCAGATATCTCTAAAAGGGATAAGGCGACTGGACAGTTCAACAGCAGATTTGGCTGCGATATCTGCAAGCTCATTTCCCTTTATTCCAGCATGTCCAGGAACCCAGCAGTACAGGACTTCAAAACCTCGAATCGTTAAATTTATATGAATTTTTAGAACATCCACAACCACAGGATTCTGATTGTTGGGAAAAGCTTCCAAGGATTTAAGAGCACTATACGAGTCTGTATAAACTATGAACTTTCTATGGCAGAGCTTTGATATGTACAAAAGACCATAATATATTGCAGTTAGTTCAGATGTTATGACTGAGCAAGCATGGTGCAGGCATTTGCCCTCAATGTAATCTTCAAATACAAAAGCCGTCCCGACATGATCATTTGACTTCAATCCATCTGTGTATATCGGATAATAACTGCTATATTTCTGCCTGTGCTCAGCAAAGAGTTGTCTGTAAACGATCTCGTTAGTGCTTGCCTTCACGTGATGTTTGAAAACATCAAGCAGCTGAATACGTGAATTTTCCCAAGGTGGGATTTCAAAGTTCTGCACTGCTTGGGGGCGCATATCAGAGAGGGAATGTTCCTCAATGATAGGGCAATGATAGGTCTTAAAGGAAAGGTAGGAATACAGGATGGACGTGTTTCAAATAATGTATTACACTCATGATCAAGTAAGCATAGCTTATTGGGATGTTCAGGTTGTGATAGAATATTAAAATATTGCAAAAGGGTCAATTGCTCACGCCTCAGATAAAGTGATGGTTCGTTAGAGTCAACATACAGGCTCTGGACAGGAGAAGTCCTGAAAGCTCCTGAACAAATCCGCAGAGCTTGATGGTGAACAGTATCGAGTTTTAACAAAACTGATGACCGAGCGGATCCATAAACAACTGAGCCATAGTCCAGTCTAGAGCGAACAAGGGCTCTGTAAATGCGAAGCATGGAGCAACGCTCTGCACCCCAGGAGGTGTTCGCCAACACTTTTAAAATATTTAGTGTTTTTAGACACTTCTTTCTCAGGTTTAAAACATGAGAAAGGAAAGTCAATTTTCGGTCGAACGTCACTCCTAAAAATTTTACTTCGGGCGTAACTGGAATAATTGTACCATTCAAATATAACTCAGGTTCAGGATGGAGACCACGCTTCCTACAAAAGTGCACGCACACAGTTTTCTGTTTCGAAAATGTAAATCCCTGTTTGTCTGACCATTCTTGGATCTTATTCAGAGCCATCTGCAGTTGCCTCTCTATGTATCTCATGTCTGTCTGCTCCTCGACAGCTAATCTGCAGATCATCAACATATAGAGATCCCAAGATGGTGGGAGGAAGTTCTTTTAATACAGAGTTTATTTTTAAACTAAACAGGGTTACACTAAGCACACAGCCTTGAGGCACACCCTCTTCCTGTTGAAAAACATCCGAAAAAACAGAGCCAATCCTTACTTGAAAAGTTCTAGCGTTCAAGAAATTCTGAATGAAAATTGGTAGGTTGCCGCGCAAGCCACTCTCGTGAAGATCCCGAAGTATACCGTATCTCCATGCCTTATCATAAGCTTTCTCAATGTCGAAGAAATATTGAGACAAGGTGACTCTTCTTCTTACAAAGGCTTTTCGAATAGATGTCTCTAAATAGAAGCATATGTTATCTACGGTTGTTTTCTCCCCTTTCGAAAACCGCTCTGATAAGGCGATATAATATTATTCTTTTCCAAGAAGTAGACTAGCCGGCTGTTTACCATCTTTTCAAACAGTTTGCAAACACAACTGGTAAGGGCAATTGGCCGATAGTTCGAGGGATTCCTTGGATTCTTTCCCTGGCTTAGCAATAGGAATGACAACAGCTCTCCTCCATGCACTGGGGAAATGTACGCTCCTTCCACACTCTATTGTAAAGTGTGAGAAGGGCACTCAGTGACTTATAGGACAGATGCTTTAGCATTTCGTAATTACGCCATCCAGACCCGGACAAGACCTATGTGTCTGCAATAAAGCTCTCTTTAATTCAACCATAGTAAAGTCTCTATTGTAAGGCTCAAATTTGGAAGAGTTGAAATGCGATGGGATTTTTTTCAGAGTGTTGCTTGATAGAAAGAAATGCAGGTGAGTATTTTTCGGCTGGAAGAAACGGCAGCAAATGTCTCACCAATTAGTATTTGCAATTTCTTCTATGGAGCTAATCACTCGGCCATCTTTTTCCAGAAAGGAAAGTGAGTGGTCTTTATACATTCCGCATGCTTTTCGAACTCTTTCCCAAACCCGCTTACTAGGCGTAGAGGATGTTATTGAGGACACATATGAAATCCAGG